GGATGAGTCATGCTACTTACTTTAATTTGATCTGTCAACAAAAAAGAAAAAAAAAACAGTAACGTAGTTATAGCCAAGCCTTCCTGTCATTCCCAGCTTCATGTTATCTTTAAATTATGTTTTCCTTTTTGAAACTTGAAGGAACCAGATTTTATTTGTGATTACAAATCAGGCCTGGAAATGTCTACCAAACTGTAGGATGGATGAATTCAACCCCTTGATACACAGCAGTCATAAGAGTGGAGAGATATTCAAGTCGTCTTTAGGCATATGTGTGGGCATTCATAGTATACTTCAATATGGAGTTTAAATTTGGCTCTTTAATACATTTTTATCTCACTGTGAGATGTTATGATATAACATTTGCCAGATTACAGTCTGAAATTCACTCGGGTACAAATGCCCTCATTTTGGATTTCAGAGAGGGAAAGGAGGGTCTGAAGAGTCAAGATGAAGAACTGAATAAGGCTAAGAAATCAAGAATGAGCTATTTTTTTTAAATGTACTGAACCATCAATATTAAAATTATGACATATGCAGCTATTTTACATTATTTGTATCAAAATCTAATTACATTTTTTTAAAAACATGGATGGATATGGGAAAAATTTAAAGGCATGGCACATTTTTAATCTGACAAAAAATATATAGAATACATTTATAATGAGGAAAGTGATATGGTATTGTACTCGCTTTAGGTTGAGGTTATTTCCATTAATTTGTGAAAGCTCTCTTTTTTCACCGCTTCTGCCATTAGATGAGGTTCTGTGAACTAATACAGAAATAAATTGACAAAGAAATTATCTCACAGCACATCTGTTACAGAATCAAACTTTATTCTTAAAGAAATACCAGCAACAGGGAATAAAAAAAAAAGACAGAAGAAACTGAAAATCTAACTTCTTGAGATCAGCAGGTTCATTTTTCTTTGAGTTTAATGACTTGTGTGCGTTCACCTGTGGCGTCTCGCTGATCCCGCAGCGTCACATTTCTTTTTTTACTCACATTTCTTCATCCATCTAAGACAAGCTGCTCACATCAAAATAGCATTTTAAAGATCCAGACATAAAATATGGAAAAAAAAAACTTTTTTTATTTATTTATTTATTTAGAACTAGGTCATTGCTTTTATATCATACAAAATCCAAACTAAAAAAAAAAAAATCCCACTGAAATAAATGACAAATTCTGCCTACTTTCCATGTACAACTAGTGCAGCGTAAAGTGCTTCATATATATTTAGAAGCATTATATGCTTTATTTTTCTATTTGCATAAACTGATGCTAAAAATTCAGTGCAACATTCTGCCTTTTTTTTGTATTGCACTCTACACTGGATTGAGGCTGCAACAGCTGAGAGCAGCTGATATAGCAGATAATGTACAGCAACCTTGCATAATATGGGAGAAAATACAAATTGCTCCACTGTTCAGCATCATCTGTAATGACTGCAAAACGTCTAGTTGGTGGTTCAGCTCTGGCGAACTTGATAAGACGAGCATTTGTCTTATCAAATGAATTTCACGATGTACGAGAAATAGCAGGTTAGGCAAATCCTGCTGCTGCAAGAGCAGTAAGATGAGCAAATTCATATTTTCACTATCAAACTTTGAGTTTTGTCTTAAGCCTGTGAGCCAGTTTGTTCTGTGTAATCAGTCTTACTCATTTTACCAAAAGAACAAAATGCCATGGTCATTTTTTCCTACTTTTTTGTATTTGAAAAGCATTACTTCATTAGAATAAGGTATATCTTTGCAAAAACAAACCCCCCATCTGTACCTATATCCGTTGACATCACATAAGGAATAAAGGAAAAGATCAGTGTTTATATTGCTTCTGCATTTTTCCATTTTTTACTTGTAGATTTTTAAGCAAATATGTTTTTTTTTTTTTTAGTGAGGTTTACTTAATAGTTTGTACAGCCGTAGCAAAATGTTTCAGAACATTGCATGGGTTGGTTACATTTGCCAATGATAAAACACGCGGAAGTGTGAAGATGGCCAGACCAGACTGGAATGACCGGCTTTCATTATTAACCAATCAGAAAAACTTAAACATATTTGACAATCGTTGACGTTGCCATTTGCTTTCACTTTATGACCCAAAGCGGTATCCACCGCGACTTAAGAGTCAGGTAAAGCATGTAATGTTACACCCTTAGTAATGCAAATAATATTTAAATGCTTCAAACCTCAGATCAATTATGTGAAAAGTCACTGGTCGGCCTTGAGTTCTCCCAAATGTGCCTTTTATGAAATTATCAACCTAATTTGGCAGAATTTGCTGATTCCCCCACCCCGTCATGCTACTTTTATTAAAAGTATGAGACCCATGCTTCATTACCCAGCTGTGGTTTTTAATTGTAATTATATGTCGGTTAGTAGCTTAAAAAACACACAGCTGGATAGTAAAGATGATCAAGTGCTGCTGAGGTGGCTATGGAATAGCTGCCTCTTAAAATCAGAAGAGCCATTTAATCTTTTCCTCCTAGTCATGAGCACATGAGGGGCTAGTAAAAAATATAGTTTTTATAACAGCCTTCAAATCAAACATTAAAAAGAATCCCTTTATTTCTCTATGAAATTTCTATAGTTTCATTTGGATAACGTCATGTCCTGTTTTTTTCTTTTTTCCAATTGAAATGTCAATTGCAGAATTGGCTATGAAATCAAAGCAAAGAGCTCAAAGCTATTAAATTAAATGATGCGCAGCAAGTGTAAGTGCCTACTTTTATATGTCGAGTCTATAAATATATCCATCTTTGACATACAGTAAAGACAACATATCAGACCACTTTGTATCTTTTGTGTTGCTTCATTGTAAACCTGAAGCATCAACAAATTTGTTGTTTGTAAGTTCAGAGATGTCTCCTGGTTGCCGTTTATCGTTGCATGGCAAAAAAAAGAAAGCATCTTTAGTGATGCGTAAAAGCCTAAAATAAAGAAAAAATAGCGCTGCACTCTTTTGTCATTAAGTGTAATGCTGCAGAACCTTTTTATTTTATTTATTTTTTTGCTCAGTAGCTTTGTAATTTGTTGGCCTTAAAACCACATCCCATATTCTAATTAATCAAATTTGGTGCTGCAGCTTTTTGGTTGTTCAAGTTTTTGCTACAGCGCAGCTAGCGTGGCTGATTGGCCTGATTGCTGAATTGAGCACAGTCATTGATTTGGAGATTGGGAAAACAGAACAACACAAACCCATTTCACTTGGCATGGGTAAGCCTTGGAAAACACGTCGCTCTCCCTCGCTCTCTCTCTTTCTGTTACGGACACATGCAAATGCTGGCAGCCAGAAGTGTCTGGAGATGCATATATACAAACTTGAGCAAACATAACAAGCTGCACTGATCTCCTATTTGGCATCGCTGAGCGACCCAGCTGACAGGATCAGGCTACTCTCTGGACCCCAATGTGGATAATATCCTGAGCATTTTGTGTACCTGCCCACAACATTTAGCCTATCAACATCATCCATTTCAGCATCTCATCCTTTCCCTTTTCGTTGTTTAACGCTGTGCGTTTTCTTTTCTCCATCTCTGTTTCCAATTTAATTTGGGGTAAAAAAAAAAAAAAAAAAAAAAAGTTTTTTTTGGCTTCAAAGGGCCCTGTCGCCCGCTTGGCTGGTTTGGCACAATGTCAAGCCTTCCAACAGGTAAACATGCTTTGTCTGTTGTATAAATTCTCACTCTCGCTCACACACACAAGTCTCTGCCCACTTACAGGGTAATCTAAAGAAATACTTGTTTTCATCTGCAGCAGGATCAGTTTGAACTAAATTAACTCATTTGTGTCTTGCCAAAAATATTCACTCCGCTTGAACTTTTTCAGATTTCATCACAGGCAGAAGATCCCTAGAAGCCCGTAGTTACTCAGGAGGAGCTGCAGAGATACACAGCTCAGGTGGTATGACCTGGTAACAGCAAAATTATTAATTTTGCCTTCCACAAATTTGGGCTTTTTAAAAAAAAAAAAAAAAAAAAAAATTGCATAAAGAAAACAAGAAATCTCGTTTGGAAGCAGCGTCGGTACAGCTGCTAGTTGATCCTACGAAACTCAGCGCGTCTGTCACATGAACTCCAGCTAACAATATTAAAGACGGTGGCTGTAGCTCAACAAAATGCGAAGAAGTTCCAAGGATGCACATGCACCGTGTGGGAGCCGTGAGGGACGATGCGTGCGTTTTCTCTGACTGTCATCTCTCCTTGAGTTCAGCAACACTTCCTGTACACGTGCGTCTCTGCATCTCGCTTAACAACGCACACACGCTACGCTGGACCGGCGTGTGTGCGCGCGCGCGTGTCTGCGCCTGTCGCACTTCGTCTGCGCGGGGTGCATTATTGGACGCAGTAGACCGGACACCGCTAGAGGCGTACAGCGAGCGGTCACGCGGCGTGACAGAGAAGAGAGCAGCGTCGCTGTCAGAAGGCCTTTTTAACACACTGCTGCTCTCCATTCGGGGACACTTCATGAGCGTTTGACTGGGGAAAGGACTCTGCGAAGGGACGATAAACACAGCTCTCCAAAAACACCCGCAGAGAGACCACTGAAGCCCCAGAGGCTGGCTACCTGAAAACACACCGCTAATACCTCTGATCTATCCGAAGAGATGTGCGAAGAGGAAAAGAGGAGGGAAAAGAAAAAAAACTGCTTGGATCCTCCAACGGATGTGCAGATAGAGTAAGACAGCAGCTTTACTTCTTTTTTTATGAATCCCTGTTGATGCTTAGGATTAGGGTTGGCAGAAATATGGTTTGATATCATGTCACCTGAATAAGAATATTGCTTGTTTTTTTTTGTTGTTTTTTTCAAATGAATAATTCTGGGGGCTTTTTTGTACCACTGACTCTGTTTCAGCATGTGAAACATTGAACAGCTGTCAACAGGTCTGCTCAGACCAGAGAGCTCCAGCAGCGGGTTTTCATCAGGTACTGCCCACCCACTAGCTAAAGCAAATAAGCAGTATTAAGGCGAGATGTTTGCCTGAAAAATGTCAATTTGTTTTTTTTAGAAAAAGAAGAAATGCATTTTAAATACAACACGGACCTCGAAATATTGGAAAAGCATGTAATTGTTATTTTATTGTTGAATATTGAGCTCTAACTGAACTTAACAGCATTGTCTTTGCTCTGCTCTTTCAAAACAATGTCCACACACCGCTGTAAGCTAGCTCCAGTATGTTGGGTCTTAAAGCCTAGGTTTTCTGGTTAATTATAATATACTAATTAACCAGCAAAATCCAAGCAGCCTTTTGCCATTGTGCACATAATGCACAGATGATTGGAATTCAAAATAATGTACAGCTCTAATAATAACAAATACATCTATTTTGTTAACATATAGTGGAAGGAAAAAAATATGTAAATTAATCATCAAAATATATTAAAACAATTTTTTAAATCACAAATAAAAAAGGAAATAAGTTATGCCCAATTTCATTTCATAAGGAAGTCTTGTTCCTCCCGGGTTTGAACATGGACGGAGACGACCAGCCAACAGAAGAACAACCCGTACACAGATTGCTGCGATGAGAAACTCATGCAGCTTAGAGCAAAACTAAATGCTAACCAAACAATCTGCATTCAGTGTACTTTTACAAGTAGATCGCTGAAATTCAAAAGTACCCTTCCTTGGTAAACGACTCAAGGCACATTTATTTGTTTGTTGCTGTTGTTTTTCTCTCCATTAGCAGTTGCAATTAAGCCAATAAGTGTTCACTTTACAAGGCCGTAAAAGCTGAAGAAGTGCAAACTGCATACCAAAAATAATGAGTTCTGCGATGATGCCCTGTGGTTTGGTTTACTTAAAACCATATCATATGAGTGGTATTTCTCATTGTACTTAAGCATTTCTGCGAATTACATTTAAATCTCACTTGTAGTTTATTCCTCGTTCACTTTCATTTAGATCTTAATTCATTGCTACTTAACTGTCAGATTATAACGTCGGATCACATGAAATCCCTCAGCTGACCTCTTCCTGAAAGGTTTTTATTGGAGGCACATAACTGCAGCGCTTCATAGAAGACTATGACTAAAATATAGAAAATTACTCAGTTGCCGTAGCCGGTCATGAAAGAAACTAAAATTACAAAAGCACAAAGTGTTCTCTTCTTAAATTAGATCATTTTAAAGACACTTTTTTTAAACTTTTATATTTCTGTATATAAACTAAATCTGTTTGTTTTCTAAAGTCCCTGAAGATTACATTCGTTTTGAATCTCTCGCTATGCTATTAAAGTAAACCGAATTTGATTCAATCTTTGAATAATGGGAACAAATTGCTTGCAAAACTTCCAATACTTGGGGTTACTTGGCACACTGGGAAATGTTATGAACTTTATTCATTACGTCTACTTTAAATCGCAGCATCAACAGATTTGGTTCTGGTTTTTGCCCTGTAGAACTGATTTCAGGGTTTGGATATTAAAAAAAGAAATACTTTCTCAAACACTGAGTCAATAAAACTTACTATTTTCTTCTTAGTGTTTTTTACTTATGCACACTCTCATGCCTTTAAGCGTAATTACACTGATGTGTTCTGTTACTTTGACTGGCACACTGTTATTGACACGGCTTCACTAACAGATGGGTGTTGTTTTTCTCTGCCCCTATATTTACATCATAAAGCATTTCAACGGAGGGTCGGCGACCCCTTTTGCTAATATGTGCAGAGTTTGTAATGTTTACCCGAAAATATAAGCACAGTGCAGTGAACTGAGCTACAATGATGCACACACAGCTATGGTGGGGGAGCCGTTTTCCTTTGCTCCTCAAAGCCCTTTCAGTCAGCATACGAACACACCAACAAACACGTTTACACATGCACATATTCTCTGTCCGGAAGTGACAAGCTTCAGAGGGCTTTGACAAATTAGCTTTTCAGTCTGCTGCTGTGCTTTTCACTTTTTCTTTCGCCCTCCTCTTCCTTTTATTTATTTATTTATTTTTTTCCGTACTCAGTCTCACTTCTTGTTTTCGCTCCCGTTTTTCCCCTGGGCCTTCTAAGGCACAGCAGAGGTCACAATCACATCGACTCTGTGTTTAAAAACCAAATGCACCTGTGTGTCAAAGGGCAAGGCTGTCTAAAGTCAACAAGTCCTGGGATCTTAAACGGGACATTAGCCAGAGGGTGTTGCAAAGAAAAACAAAACAAAACAAAAAATGTCAAGTGCAAAGTGTGAAACTTGTTTTCCTCCACCTTCAGTATTCATTGACATGTGCAAAGCTAATGAAATTGACTTGTAATGTAAAATCCATTCTGAATGACACATCCTACCATCTAGTTTTGGCAGCCAACGTAAAAATTGCACCATTAGCAAGTCACAGAACAAAACTACAGTCAACCTCTAATTATCGAGATAAGTCAAAGGAAAAGGAAAACTAATATGGCCTGGGGAGAAGAGGTTGAATTTCACTGACAATGTCATTCGCTTCCTTGGGGAATTATTTGGCTTTGGGAGGCAGGAGTGACTCAAAGGGATCCTGGCTGTCCCAAAGACTTTGAATGACACCTTCCCCAACTTTCCCTGTGAATTTCAGCGAGGCTCTGAAGTTCTGAGAGGCTGAAGAAGTGAAGTTTGACACAGCTTTGGAGCCTGCCCCCGGGGTTCGGCGTTGAAGCAGGGAAGGCCTCTCGTCGGAGGCGGCAGCTGCTTTGTCTGGTGAGCCGGAGGCCCCGAAGAACGGCCCGGTTTCAGAGAGGCCGAGCCGCCAGCACCGACTGAATTCGACGCAGGTGAAGACATCGGCTTGTGGATGCGAGGAGGCTGCAGGGTGCGAGGGCGAGCCGATCTCGGCGCGTCAGAGTTCTGTGCCGGCACAGTGGGAGCTCTCTGCCCAAGCTGTGAAGCGGACGGAGGTGCTGACGCTGGACCGTCTGTGCCAGTTATTCCCCGTGGAGCGCAGGAGCGGGGGCGGCGCAGGTTGGTCCTGGGCAGATGACTCAGCTTGTCAGAGCCACCCGCCCCTGACCCGTCTACTTTAGTGGCTTCAAGAGGACGGTCATTATCTTTGCAAGTCGCTTCCTCTGATCTGCTTCGCGTGAGCTTACTGTGGCCCTCGGTGGGGGGAGTTTTTATTAGTCTTTCCTGGTGCGGCTGCTCGTTGAGATAGGGGTTGAAAGGCTGTAGCGTTCGAGGCTGCGGGAGAAAAAGGAAAAAGAATAAATAAATAAACCAAAAAAATAAAAAAAAAAAAAGAGAAAACTGCAAATAGTCATTGTTTCAGAGGTGGTGCGTTTTTGATCCCCATGGTAACCACGCTGCCGAGTATTTTGCTGCTGTGAATGAATTTTCAAATCAGAAAGCATACAAGCATTCTGCCTTTTTCCCCCACTTGGTTGTTTACTCTTCAAAATGAAGGCTGTTTTCTTTGACGGGCCCTTCACCGCTCCCAAAATGGGGAAAAGCAACGACACACACGACGGTTTAAAAACAAGCAGGGAAGAAGTTTTTCATGTTGGACTCTAGTTTTGGGTTCTGCTGAGCCATTTTGCATGTGGGGTTGTTGAAACACCTGACAATTAAACCAGAGATATCTTAGAGACAACAAAATCATAATGACCATTTTTTTCCTTCTAGAAGCTTACAGTTATAAACTGAAGCTAATTGTCTAAACCAGGACCGGTTTTGCTGTGATTTCTTTTTTCTGATCTCTTCACATTCCAGTCGTAAAAGAATCGTTTTTACAAAACAGTGCAGTGGTTTTTCCACATCGTTCAGAACTTACGAAATTTTACAGCAACAAACCTCAACATATCACATACCAACACCTTAAACATTCAAAAAGCAATATGCGGTGGAAAATAACAATGAACATCAAACGTAAACATGCCGTCTGCATTTTAAAACCTGGTGGTGGCAGCATCATGCTGTGGGGATCCCTCTTTTTCAGCTGAGTCAGGTAAGCTGTCCCATCTGAAAGAAACGTCTTCCAGGATGTTAAAATAACTGATAAAACTATGGTGGGGTTCCACCTTCCAGTACGACAACAATCCAATAAGATGAATAAAATTTAAAGGTACTTATAGTATACGTTGAGTGGCAAATTATTAGCATAACTTTTATTGCTCTTTTGTTCAAAATGACTTCATTTAGAGAAAAAAAAATACATAAACATACAACAATAGCTGCAAGATTAGATTGATATTTTTATAGATCAAAGCATATTTTATGTGTAAGGATGGCCAAGTCAAAACCTAAAATAAAAAATCAATTAAGAATCTACAAGTATTGAAAAGCATAGTTTACAGACACTTTCAATTCCCCCTGACTGAGATATTTTGCAAATAAAACTGGCTAAAGTTGTGCAATGCTGATAGCAATGTAGCCCAATAGCTCCAATGAAGGGTAGAGCTACACAGTGTTGAGATGGGATTATCCCAGAAAATTCTTGCCACACTTTTCAGATTTCCATTTAGGAAAAACATAAAATTGCAATGTTATTGTTTAATACTGGAATCTGCTGCATTCAAGCAAATAAACTACAAAAGCTGACCAAATACTTAAACCCTGCTGTTTTTTTTCTAAATATCACACACATTTATTGCAACAAATATTGTGATCCTACATATCTATCTTTTATAAAGATAAAATAATGCAGACAGATATTTTATCACTTTAAATCCCCACAAAAACTTCCAACTGTGCAGTTGTACTGTGATAAAACACAAATAAATTCAAGGGGCTGTATAACACAGCAAGCAAACTTCAACTTTTCTTCACGTCCGCTTCAGATTTATTCCAGAAAAAAGTCCATTTGTGTTCATATTCTAAGTAGCCCCGAACATCAATAAAGACACTTCATGCTGTTTCTAACATGAGCCGTTGAGTTTCACATAGATCTGTGAACTATCAGTGGCCGTCAGATTTTACCTCTGGATATCTGGTCTTTTGGGATCTTTGTGCCTTGGCAGGATCTTACAGTATTCAACCCACCTGAAACCATGAACAGCTACTAATGAGCCTGAATCCCATCTTAGCACAACTTTGCTCCTCTGAGTAGAAGGTAAGAGAATCTCAAAGGATGCGCACATATTATATATATCTATAGCTGCACTGGTCAGGTTTGCTGTGGATTTTCCCACCAGTGGTCATTTGCAATATTAGGCACCACAGCTCCATCTCCTGGTCCCCTGCCACACTGCAGCTTGTTTTTGGACCAATTCTGCCAAGTGAAACTGTTGTTTTCTTGTCAAAGACTTGCAACTCAAACTGTCTTATGAATAAATGTTTGTGGTGCTTCTTGCGTAAGGGCATATTATCTTTGCCAATCCACTGTGTTATTAGTTCGTTTTTTTCCATATTCAGTGTCAGAGGGGAAGAACTCCTTGATGGCTCTAATAATTCAAAAGACAAATCACAATTAGCAGGAGATGTCACCATGCACTTTGCTAACAAGCGACATGAGCATAATCAACAAAGTGGATGAAACGCAACTTTTATCCCATTTCACGTTTTGATCTCGTCTGCATTCACGCTGAGAAACTTTAAAAGCCGACTTTATTCTACATTTCATCTGGAGTTCATAACAAATCCGGTCTGAAAAGTCTATTAATGGAAGCACGTCAGTAACCTGGCACCTTTAATTGTAAGGCATGTCATTAGCCCACACGGCACAGCGTATTTATACCTTCTCCTGGCTGGTGGGGAGACGGTGTGTGATGGCGGCATGACATGCCTACAGGCTTGGAGCCAGTAATTATTTGCATCTACAGGTGTCTGCTTCAGATACTAATAATTTGCAGCAATCACTCGGAGCTTTCTGATGCACTGTCATGCAGGTAAATATCTCAGCTTCTAATGATAGCTATCGCATTAACAGAAATCCACCCAAGTGCCAATTTGCGGCACCTGGAAGATGTCGTGGCCAACTGCGATCTGTCTCGTCTGCAGCTTCAATCACCACCAGGAGTAAGCGAGTGACTGGAAAACAGCATGCAGGAAGGGGAAAATATGGACTGAGAAACTGTGAGAGTTTGCTGAAGTACATGACTGTAGCAAAAGCCTGGATGAGACCGTCAATATTGTGACGCACCATGCTGAAGGCTGGATCGGAGTTAAAAGAACAGAGAAGTTGTTTCATGCTTTACACAGAGGAATCCGGGTATGAAACGTATCTGCATCCATTAACACAGGATCTTTACTAACTGTGAGCGACTTTTGAACCTTAAATGGTAAAGCTGGAAAGAAAAAAAGAAAAAAGAAAGAAAAACATGCACAAGACTTAATGTGATGGAATAAACACGACAAATCAAAGTTGAAAACAAGAGGGTTTTTTTAAAACCCCACAAAGCTGATCATCTGTGTACCACAAACATTTTCATACTCATGCTTGAACTTTTCATATTTTAATCTCAATACAAAAACAAACTTGAACGTTTTTTGAGGATGTCACTGGGTTTGATTAAAATAGTAGTGCATGACTTTTTGAAGAGGAAGGAAAAAAGGAATAAGGTTTTCAAACGCGCCACATGTTTTCTGCCTTCCTCGTCAACACTTCAGAGTCCTAGATGCAGCTGCAGGTCTTATGGGGTTTGTCTCTAGCAGCTTTCCACATCTACTGTACTTCTTTGTAAAAAAGTTAAAAGTCTCATAATCAGATTTAGATTCAGCCTATTCCAAAACATTGTGTAATGCAGGTTTTTTTTTTCTTATTACCTTTTTTGCAAAAAGGTTGTTTGTTTTTTTTAACCATTTATCATTTCTCTTCCATGTTCATGCACTACTTTATGTTGGCATATCACAAACCCCCACCTCAGAAAAACCAGTGAAAGTTTGTGTTTGTGGCAAAAAAAATATGAATAAGAAAGGTTTTGCAAGACACTGCAGCACTCTTCATAGTCATCTACAAAATCAATGGAGAATTTATGCAAAGTAAAAGCTGAAAAACCAAATCATGCCAACAGCTGTACAAGGACATGCTTCTGTCGTGCCCCTCTGACGCCAAAACTTCAGAGCAGCGTGTTGGTCTGAGGGAGCAGCATCTTCACATTAAAGAAAGGGTTACTGTACCACGCTGTGTCAGTGAAGTAGTGCACTAGATGCTCCACTCCTAGCCAAAGGCGTTATGCAATGAGGAGGCAAAGGCAGAGGAGAACGAATGAGAAGGGTTCAGTCACATTCAGATTTTTTGAGAGACAGACAGTGTAGACTTGAGAGGAGGATGGGGCTTTGAAGACAGGCAGCGTGGATAAAAATAGCTGCAGGTTAAAGAGAAAGAAGTACGTATTTATTTTATTATTTTATTTATTTATCTTTTTTACTGTGCTGGATATGTTTTTCCCAGAAGTAAAACAAAGCTTCAAAAACAAGGTCATGTGTTAGGTGAAAAAAACAAACCCTTGCAATGTCAAGTATGGTTAGGATTTTCCTAATTAACGTCAATGTCTAATTCTTTAATCTGAAAATAAAAAACCTCCACTGGCAAAATATTCAGTTTTTTTTTTTTTTTTCTAAAAAAAAAAAAAAAAAAATCACTGTTCACTGCTACTAGACTGGCAGTTAATAGCACCTTCATTGAAAACAGTGATACATTTATGTATGTAAAAAAAACAAAAAAAAACATTGAAATAACTTAATTGTGCTGAAATAAATGTACCTCGGCTACATTTTTTTTCCACATTCCTTATCAATAAAAGGCCGAGTCCTGGGGAGACGCATAACAAGAAAGCAGCGTGGATTCCTTTATTCTTCCCTTTGTGTTTTTCACTCATGTGCATTTTCAGAGGGCTATTCACCAATTCTTATTGTTCTTTGCCAACCTTGTCTACCCGCTAACACGTCTCCACTGCACTCACAAAAGCTTTGTTGTTATGCCCAATAAGTTGAGACGGTTGTGACAACAATCTCAACATTTCTTCAGTCTTGTCATTTTTAATAAAGTCCTACTGGTTTACTTTCAGGTTTGTGTTTGCAGCAAAGCGTGTGTTGTGTGTTTTACTCTTCAAGGGCTGACTATACATTGCCTGAATGGTGAGCTGGTATTTTATTCATGGTCATCATATATAGAAACTATCCCTGCTGTAAGCTGGAGTTGATGTATTATCACTAAGTTAACAACTACGTGCGTGCCTTGAAAGTCGACAAAAAGACAAAAGAAAAATAAATCAATAGTAGAGATGCACCAATATGGATCATTC